TTTTGACTTGCATATGCCCTACAAGCAGTAAAAATAACCACAAAACCCACAAGCATCAACTTTTATTTCTTAAAAATCAGATTCCTCTAAAATCAGCAAAGTGCAATATTTGTTCGGTGCCTTCAAAATAACTTCTGGAGCACCAGGCATCATAACATGGTTAAAGACACCATTTGCTACAATAAATAAGAAAGTAAATTTAACTTTTTATTTAGTAAACTGACGTCTTGATATCACAAGGGAAAATTGAAGTCATTCATGCGAAGAACCTATGGCAGATTGGAGGTTTCAAGAAGTTGGCCTCCAGTAACAATTGCAGAGTAATCAAATTCTTCAATGTTCAGCGGGGAAACCCCACCACGGAAGAGCACACATACTGTGTTCTTCTGAGACGGCCTGAATAAATGAGCTTCGTTGAATGAACCACCAACCCGCTGCGTTGTGTGGGTGTGTGGACTAAGCTCGCAATCACAGAACGCATGACGCACATACGTCAGCAAATGCCGAAAAACGTCTGCAGTTACTCCCTCGAACAGCAACGTCCTTGTGGTCTTTAGCTTGAGAACTCACCGGTTCTTGGGTTTCCGTTTCACCACTGAATTTGGTTGAATTTCATTACGGCCAATATGCACAAGGAGCCGGTTTCCCGACATGTTAAATCTCGAATGAGTTCTTTCTACCATGTGACATAACAGCACCGAATGAAAAGTGTAATATTCACCTTCATCAATGATTGTTGAAACTGATGTCTTTGACTATCTTAAAATACCTACCTCCACATAAAAAGGTTCTGAAAGCAGAGAACAAATTACAGGTTTTCCTGATTTCTGAAAACACCCTGTGTGGGGAATATGTCAAAGCTGTATTTTCGATGAAAGTTCATCCGTTTGTTTTATGGTTGCTCACGATTACTTGTACAGGTTAACTTAGAGAAATCTATGAATAAATTTCAACGGCTAATGGTTTTTCAGATGTGTCTAAGAAATATTTCATTGGGAGTGTGATAGGTGTTGGATAGGTGTCGTTGAAACTAGGACGCCCCGATTAATGCGCGTTGAACGGTAGCTGTAGTTTCAATTGTTGCAATTCAAGTTTCTTTATCTGCCAACGTGCTATGCAACTAAGGGTGTTTTTTAGGAACTTGCCCGCGAAGGTTCTTATGCAGGGGCATGTCCCTTGTCATGTATACGCAAGAGACGCATGCAGCTGCGTCAATGTAACCACCACACACCTATTACACTTCCATGAAGTAGGGACATGCCACTATGCCATTCGTAATTCTGCTGATAAACGAGGTACCCCCTACACATCTGTGAGGCACTGACTACACTCTGTGCTGTGTATACGGAGAAGTGCCCGCGAAGCAGAGGCTGCGCGCAAGGGGCAGTGAGACAACCTCGATTCGGGACCTGTATCAACATCGCCTTCCCAACTTTCACCTGCAACCTTTAATTTAAGATGTCCTTGCCACATACTTCACTGACCATAACTTGTTATCTTCAAAAGAAAACAAGTTTTAAAGCTTTCTAATTTTTAACGCAATCCTGGTATAAATTGCAAGGTGCGTAAATGATTACATCTTGTGTATATTATAGTGTACACGCTACAACCGCTATAGAAGCACGTTACTGTGATAGAGGACTTGTACAGAGGACTCGCGGGTTCTCCTGATTAGTTTCGGGCAAGCTCCTCCATCATAACTCACTTGGTAGAGATTGTTGGATTTTTTTTCTATTAAGGTAGTGATTTATACTTGAGGAGCATATTCGGCAGGGTGCGTTCGCTTGGTGTGGCCCGACAGCAGTGCAGAAACGGACAGGCCGTTTCTCCTCGCAAGAAAGGTCCATGACGGGTATCGGAAGTGCTGCCCCAGAAACTATGTGGACTTTGAGGAGCCGAGTATGGTTGCATTCGTCTTGACAGGGACAAATACAGAGCTCATACCTTTTTTTTGTACAAGCTGCGGTCTCACCGCTACGCTTTCATTGATGCGATTGATGCGCCGCCGCGGTGGTCTATAGTGGCTAAGGTGCTCGGCTGCTGACCCACAGGCTGCGGGATCGAATTCCAGCTGTGGCTGCATTTCCGATGGAGGTGGAAATGTTGTAGGCCCGTGTGCTCAGATTTGGGTGCTCGTTAAAGAACCCCAGGTGGTTTAAATTTCCGGAGCCCTCCACTACGGCGTCTCTCATAATCATATAGTGGTTTTAGGACGTCAAACTCCATATATCAATTGAAGAGATCGACAACTCCCTTCGCCGCTCACTGTAGCGGCCGCTTTTCTCTGTGCCAATGTTTATTGAGTTACACCAGGTCGAAGACCAAAGGAGCTATTTCCTAGCTTTACTTCGTATAAGATTCCAGTTTGCTGCTATCACACTCTTTGTTTCGCCTCTGCAAACATAGTGTGCCGCTTTTTTGACACGAAAGTGTTTTATGCCGGTGCCTTCCACAGCTCCGCTGTTGTATTTTCATCAGGCATTACGCGTCAAAAATGCGCACTAACATACAACAACGGAAATAAAACTAGAAAAAGGAAATCCGCCGCCGGGAATCTAGCCTGCATCCCCTCCACTCTTCACAGGCGGCGCAAAACCGCTACAAAAAACATCTTCTGCAAAATACTAACAACGAGCTCCATATGCTTTTGACAGTCCTCAGAAGTTTCAGCTCCGGCATGTTTTGGTCCTCACTAGTGAGATGGCGTGACGGGCTCGAACAACGCGCTTTAAAGATCGTCACCCCGTGCGTTGTAATGTGCGTGCGCTCATCTAGCAACGGCAGCGGCTTCCACAACTTGTGCTCTCACAGCATTAACTTCACTAACTGCAACGGCTATGTTTACAAAAGGAGCGCGCCGCTCACACCTCCAAAAAAAGTTAAAACTGTGTCAGTTTCTATCGTGTCCTCGTCCTGTGCATACCTGTGCGTTAATTTCGTGCTTCCTCCTATGGGTGAGAGCAGCGCGCTTCAAGTGTCGTGCTGTGACATTTCTTCGCGCTGATCCTGTGTATGTTTTAAAGACGGAAGTCTTTCTTCGGGACCTTCAACGCAAAAATATTGGTCAGTCAGTCAGTCAGTCAGTCAGTCAATCAGTCAGTCAGTCAGTCAGCCAGTCAGTCAGTCAGTCAGTCAGTCGGTCAGTCGGTCAGTCAGTCAGTCAGTCAGTCAGTCAGTCAGTCGTCTGTCTGTCTGTCTGTCTGTCTGTCTGTGTCTGTCTGTGTCTGTCTGTGTCTGTCTGTCTGTCTCTCTGTCTGTCTGTCTGTCTGTCTGTCTGTCTGTCTGTCTGTCTGTCTGTCAGACAGACTGTCAGTCAGTCAGTCAGTCAGTCTGTCTGTCTGTCTGTCTGTCTGTCTGTCTGTCTGTCTGTCTGTCTGTCTGTCTGTCTGTCTGTCTGTTTGTTGGTGGACTTGTCTGTCTGTTGGTGAACTTGTCTGTCTGTGCACTGAAACGACACCAGAACCGGCCGAAATCAAACGCCATCCGCCACACCCACCAAGATTGCTCAAGGTTCAGGGTTCATACTCGCGCAATTGTCGATTAAAAAGCCATTATTGCGCATATTTTAGGCACAGTAACAACACGTCAATATTCTGTATGTATCTCTTTATACTGGAAAATGTATACATTGTAATTAATTCTAAGGACCGTAGCGTTTATCACGCTGCGCTGACGATCGTTGCAAGCGTTTCCAACGCTTTTATAAGACGACACGTTGGTGGCAGGTACCCGTCGCCTTGCGCTCTACACCTTATCGCCTCGAAGATGGGCGTTCAGGCCGCGCGCTTTGTTTTTCAAGATAACTGCCAGATAGCATTCGTGTCTCACGTGTGACGTGCCTTGATGCGCTTGTTCGCCTTCGCTGCACGCATCGAGGCATTTTAACGTAGCGCCTCCAGAAAACCATTTAACAATTTTCTTGCGCAGAATATGAAATAAACGTTTTGTTCAATCTCTCCAAATGCAATTGATTGATTGATATGTGGGGTTTAACGTTCCAACGCCACCATATCATTATGAGAGATGCCATAGTGGAGGGCTGCGGAAATTTCGACCACCTGGGGTTCTTTAACGTGCACCAATCTGAGCACACTGGTCTACAACATTTCCCCTCCATCGAAAATGCAGCCGCCGCAGCCGGGATTTGATCCCGCGACCTGCAGGTCAGCAGCCTTATCCACTAAACCACCGCGGGGGGGGGCTCTCCAGGCGCAAGGCTATTGTCTTTCGACGACATTCGCAGTGAAACATGCAGATACGGGGCCGATTTTTTCCATGCGTCGTTACTGATTCAGCAGAGCATTGCATGTTTGCAGCTGCTTGCAGTTCTTCGCATGACATCACAACGTGTAGCATTTATTCCTTTGACCTTATGGCAAACCATGCGCAATAAACGCTCAGCTACATTTGTAACGGTATGCTTCACTTTTATGTTATAACAATCGCTGTGGCAGAGGATAGGTCATGTTTTTTGCAGGATCTGAATATCCAATAACTGCAAGCTTGCTGCTACCCTGCGCTCCAGTTGCAATGGAACGATCGACAGCACGCTTTTTTCGCTGCAGAGACCACACTTCGCTTTGCCAGTGCATTATTGATTTACGCTAGGTTGAACGCCAAAGTAGCTAGCTCCTAGCCTTACTCCGTATAAGATTCCAATTTCCTGCTATCGCAATCTTTCCTTCGTACTTGCTAACTGTGCCACTTTTTTTGAGAATCTGAAGAGCAGATAACTGCAAGATTACTCTTCGCCCCCGCCCGAGCACTAAGAATATTGAAGTTCTCACTTCCACAGGCAACACGACTGTAAAACCGGCTCAATTTTGCACAGACCTTAACATGTGACTTGGGATGGCTGTACGCAACCACAAAAAATAAAACAGAAGTATAATCTGTTATTAATGTTTTACATAACGAAGTAAGTGCAGTGAACACGCAACTGCAATATTCTGCAGGGAAAGAAAGAGCGTGAAGAAAGAAAATGGAGCATCGGCACTTACGTCACCATTGTCTGACTCCGAGAACTCTCCGCTGCCAATCGGCTGTGGAAGAAAAAGAGTAAGAGATATCTCTGTATTTCACTCATTCACACATGCTAGGTGGCCACAGGCATACTTTGAATACCTGCACGCATGCAAACTGACCCACCCTTTGATTCGTTCATGCGCCTGAGACGTTCACGTGTGAATGGGGAGGGGCGAAGCGAATAGGGAGGTGCGAATCATTTAACGAAGGGTGTTTCAGCTCCACTAACGTGAAAGGAGCGAATCATGTAGTGTGGGCATGTCCTTCCCTGAAAAATATCTCCGCTAGTGGGCACCAGAAGAGGAGACAGAAGAAAGGCCTCACCAAAATAATGCACCGCAATTTTTTTTAAATTTCTTTCATGACACATTAGTGGTGCCAAGTCTGAAACCTGGTATGGATGACTCAGCCTCACTAATGTTGCCGCAAAACTTTGCAATGCAGTTTAAAATAACATGCTTCTTTTTCTTGCCAGCATGCCTGGTCCCACATTCTTAAAGAAGTGAAAGCGCTTTTTTCAGCTCCTCCAACATCATCGGCTATTAGTTAACCTAACGGTTGCCTCGGTTGTTTTTAAGAGACTGGTGGCAAATAAAGCGCCAATACTTTGCAGATATGCTGCAAGATGTGATGTTTAAAATAGTTTTTTTTTTTTGGTCGTAGAGATCCACGCTCGTGTTTCTGGTTTGAAATAAGAAACTTGAGCGCATTGGTGAATTTCATTGAGAATTCCAACACGGCTAAACCTGCTGCTTGGGCGAGTTGGTTCATGATTAGGATAAATTTACCAGCGCAAAAAAATACGAAACAGTAAGGAGGTACGAACACACACAGTGTCGAACTCGCATCTGATTTAGTGTTCTGAACGCAGAGCCTCTTTGTAGGCACGCATCGAAACAACAGAAAGATAACACGAAGAAAAGAAGCGATGAAAACCACGTGACAACTGCTTACCGAAAGGACAATCAACCGAAGGTAACCACGTAGTCTAAAATTTCTACGTCACAATGTATGCCCTCCGTATGAAAGAAGTGAAAAAATGTACTTGATCTTAAAACCACCTGAAGCAAACACGTTAAAAGCAGAGAGGCTAAGCCAGCACAAAAAATATAAAAATATCTAAAACATCAAAAACTAATATGAAATATAAGAACAGTGTAAATCACGCACTAAAACTATTGAAAAGGCATGCGCCGTAGCGTACTTTCTCATTTGAGAGGGAAATGGAGAACCTGCTCGAAATCAGTCACGCAGCCTCTGAATTCGGACTGCCTCTAAAATATTTCTAGCAATTTGTTTCCCATTCCCGGATAAGAGTGTGCTACCCTCAATGTGAGGGGAGCAGCCACAGTCTCGGCCGTGCATCGCTAACTGACTGCAGGCGACCACTGACAGGTTCTGCTGGTGCTCCTGAGAAGGACACTAAGGCACCTTCCCGTTTGTCCAGCCTAGTACTTGCCATATGAGAGTGACGTGGAGTACACAACTCGTTGCTCACACAGCACAAAAGGATGTTGGTGCTTTATTTCGCACATGTCCTTGTTCCCAGGGAGAGCATTCACCGCTTGGAACAACCTGGAGAGCTTTAGACGGACTGAGAATACCACCCTGATTTCGCAATGCTGGGTTATCTTTCCCAGGTTGTGCGACAACCTGCGCTTTTACCGCACCATCACAGTCTTCTTCTTTTGAGTTAGCACCTGCTCCTGCATCCGGCCAGCACCTTTCACGCCTCTGAGCATGCTTTCTGACACGGCCGCTAGCATTTGGGGAGGGTGCCCTGCCAAAGCCAGGCGCTCCGTTTGCTTAAGAAAGCGTCCACTAAGCCACAAGCCAACATAATGTGTTAGGCAGTAATGACGAACCTTTTACTTATGGAAGGAACCTCGCATAATTCGCATATTCAAATGTGGTGACCCGTGTAAACCGTCAAATTACAGACCAATTTCCTTCACTAGTTCATGTTGTTAACTCCTATAACATATAATTTCATCCGCTGCCATCAACTTTTTTATGAAACATAACTTATTCTTTATTAATCAACACATTTGTCTTCTCGGTGGTTCTTGAGAAAGGCCGCTGTTCGAATTAATTCATGATTTGCATCACTCTTTTCACTGTTTGCATCAAACTGGCGCTATATTTCTTGACTGCGCAAATGTCTTTCACGAGGTTCGCAAGTCGTACCTTTTTCTTAAACTTTCAGGTCTTAACTTAACTACAAGGTTTCTTAAGTGGATTACCAAATTCTTAACTAACCGGTGCCATTTTGTATTCGTTGTCTAATTCGTCTCCGTTAAAGAGCCCTGTAACACTTTTTCAGCTAACCATGGAGTATAATCTATAAAAAAGCTTATTGCCTCACAATTTCAACGCCGCAAAAATTTTTTAAATGCGTGCAGTACTATCAAAGTTAAAGATTTCACGCATGCTGCAATCGCATTCCCTCTTCTCTAGTCCCGATGAAAGTGATGGAAGCTAAGCAGGGAGGAATGGCATGGGCAAATAAATTACGTCATGCGCGCTACGTGACCTGGAACCCTTTTTTTTGTTCCAATACGCGGCTTTTTGTGTGTGATCACGCACGCACGCATCCATAAGTCGTGGGCTCTTGCGTCAATCCCTGTGATGGCAAATCACATTATGTTCAAATTAGCCACTGGCAGATACATGGCCTTCTACGAGTAATTTTTTAGCTTACTATATCATTTGTCGAGAGAAGAGAAAGCAATTTTTAGCTCAGTTTCATAATTTATCGGTCATTCCAGGCTACGTGCTACGCTATATTCTTTGGCTTGCATATTTTCAGGAGCCTCTACAACCGATAAGCAGCGTTTTCTCACCATGCTCACAAAGTTTTGCAGGGGCCCTTTCATTCACATCAAATCTAGCGTACCGCGGGGTTCCGTGCTCGGGCCTATATCGTCTTTATTTTATATTAACTATATAAGTAATTGTATTCATTCCACAGTTAGGTTATTTACGGCTGAAGACGAGGTTTACCTACAAATTTCTAACCCTCCGGATATCTGCTGCCTTCAGTCTGACCTGGTCATTGTGTGATCAGTGGCAATGATTCCGCAGACAACGCGGCTCGCACATTCCACCAAGAAGAGCACACCCTTCCGATTCCTTTGTCAAGGACATGCACTGCAAAGCAACTTCGCCACCTGGCACGTAGTCTGTGTCTGCTGGAGTGGAATGCTCCAAGCATAAAACTTACGAGACACTACCAAATAAACCCTCGACTGGAACTTCGACCTCCATCCGGACTTCGTCGACGTGGAGCTGCGCCTATTTGTCGCCGTTGGTTGGGGGTTGCCTCCGCAAAAGCATATACAACCCTCATTGGCTTGACTGACAGTGCGGAATGCGACGTCTGCGGCACTGAAGGAGACATCGACTATCTGCTATGCCGTTGCCCTCGATTTGCCTATGAAATACAGGAGCTTTCTGACATATTGCGATGGATGATCGGCCACTCTTAATGCAGAGGCTACTAGTGCACCATCTTCGTCTTTTGTCGCCTCAAAAGGCAGTCAAAGCTGTCTTACGCTTTTTCAGGACTACTGTCTTATGTGAACACTTAACTTTTGTGTAGTGCTACCGATTCATACGCGTCAGTTCATTGACTGACAATCCTTTTTTTGTCTCTTTCTCTTCTCTTTCCTCTCTCTTTATATCGTCTTTATACTCCTCCTTCTCATTCCCCCAGCGTAGGGCAGCATACCGGATATGTGCCTGGTTAACCTCCCCACCTTCTCTTTTATTGTTCTTGATCTCCTCCTCCAGTCTGACCTAGCGAGTCTCAGTAAATGGTGTAAGGAGTAGAAAATGCAACTTAACGTAAACAAAAAAGCCACCAGTTTTGAAACAATGGTCAACCCCATGTATATACTACACGTTGAACAACGTACTCATAGAATATGTATAGGCAATAAAGCACATTCATGTTTATTTATCACCGGACCTGCCATGCAACGCTTATTTGGGCTCAATTGTCAGTAAAGCAAATAAATCTCCTGGCTTCATAAGTCAAAATTTACATCCGGTGAACTCCGAGACTAAACTTCTTGCTTATAAGACGCTAGTACGCTCAAAAATTGAATATGCCTCCTTAATCTGTAAGCCACATCTGGTCTACCTGATACAGCAGCTGGAGCCACTGTACGAAATAAGACTGCTCGCTTGAACTCAAAAAAGTACTAGCGCATATCAAGCATAATTGACACCAAATCTTCACTCAACAGCTCATCTAGAGAAGGGCAGCATGCTGACACTGTTGTCCTTTTTTCATAAGCTACAGTGCAATCATCCCACGATACCTTCAATATCAGGCCATCTCGTCATATACCTTCACGACCAAATCACCAGTATGAAATTGAACCCGTTTTCGACCAAACTAATCTGTTCTATGGCTCACTTCTCATCTCCATTCGTGCATGGAACGTTCTGCCTACTGACATCTCGCACATTCTTGATCAAGAGTCATGTGTTAATCACGTAAAGTGATTGCTAAAAGTCTAAGCTAATCGTTGTCAAGAGTTGTGCCTCCACTCAGATGAAAATATTATGTATTGTTAAGTACCTGAATTGTGTTTGCTTCTCTCGTTATGATTGATTTTCTTTAGCTATATATTTATCTTTCAAATGTTTTGGTATCTACTTGCTCTTGTTCATGTCTTCTAATTATATTGTTTCAGTGTTTTCTTTATTACTTTCTTCAGTTATTTTATTTCCCCTCCCTTTGTAATGCCTTCTGGGCCTTACAGGTTGACAAGCTGAGGACTCTAAAGTGCTTCACCTCTTGAATAAAGAGCACGCGAGTTCATGACAAATGCGTGACATTTCTTCTTTCCTTTAGCCATCCCCTCCTTTAGCTTCCAGCGCACTCGACAGTGGGAGTCATGAAACAATACTGATGCGCGCAAAAGATGCGATGCGCGCTCATTGTTAGCGCAGTATAGAAGGACGAGAAGGCGCGACCCAATACGTGCG